AGTCCGTTTGCTCAGGTAGGTGTGGTGGTGTCCTAAAATTGTGAGCTGAAAAACTGTTTAGGAAAAGGCAGAGGAGGGATAGAAACGGCAGCTTGTTTATTCTCCTTTTCCACCAACTGTGGTCAAAATGCCCAAGATGAAGTTACTAAACCACGTTGGTGTTTGGAGATGATATGCCCATGAGGTGAGCGTAAAACACTTAAGACCAACTCTGATGTTGTGAACATGAAGTTACTATTTTATGTGATGCCGCTGTCTACTTCAAAGAGAGGTGAGTGATGGTCAGTTAGACTTATTTATTCATGGTGGCAAACTTTGCGTGGTGGTAAAAAAAAAAAAGTACCAGTAAGCCATGGATTTGTATGTCAAAAATGTATATATGTTTTATAGATTCAGATATTTGCACTATTTAGTTTTTATTTGGCAAATGTGGCCTAAAGGTCAGAAAAAAAGGTCTTGCAACGGTTAAATATGGCTCGGGACAACGAAATCACTGAGGTGCCCTTGAGCAATAACTCCCAACAGTTCCAGAGGAGCTGCTCGGCGGCCAACAGATTACTGGGCAGCTTCCCGGTGTTACTCAGCGCGAACAGGACATTCCTGACTGATATAAACGTCCTTGGATAAACAAAGGCCTTAAAAACAAATGTTCAATATGTCATCAATGTCTACTTTTATCAATGGCATGAATCAGTTAAATGGGTTTGCAGTTTCAAAACAGAGAGAACCTGGAAACAAGTGAAATCATTAATTATATTGATTATTTTGCACACAAAGCCGTATGTTTTGCAAGGTACCTCCAGGGGGAACATGCCATTGAAGACTGACTCAGAAGATGGCACCAGATTACGGAAGACAATTATTTTGACTGACGGTCTTGTCTCAGGCAATATCTGAGGCCCAGACTCAGCATGTCCAGGCATCATAAAGGAAGATAAGTGTGTCATTCGACTGCCGTTGCCACAACTCTCAATAACTGATTTTTTTTTTTTTTTTCTGATGGATTTTCCAGATGGAATTTCTGTCTAAAACTCTAAAGGGGAAAGTTTGAACAGCTGTATTTAAATAAATTGTCACATTTTAAGGTTCTCTGCCTTGCCTATACGGTGACGGTCTTGAGTGAAAACATGGGCAGGGATGGTATTTGCTCATGACTCTTCCACGTTAGTTCTCTCTCTCTGCCCCTGTGTCTATATCCCTCCCTCTCCCTCCCATCATTTTTGGGCGTTGCCTAGTTAACTATAAAGTCTTGAATAAACTTCCAGTGAGCCCCTGCACTCTTCACTGAATCTCAAACTACAGTTTCTGCCTCTTTGAGACCTGGTGAGTTCATTATAATTACTTGGACACTATTTTGTTCTGCTTTTAACTGTTGAAGAGCCTTTTTTTTTACAAGTTCTATGAGTTCAGACAGAAAACGGATTCTTGTATATATGAAGATTATTGTATGTAGTTTAAGGCTACGTGCTAAAGCTGCTTTTTGTCGCACTTGGTGTATTCAGCGACTTTCCTCCTCTGACAAGTAGCGCCTCGTCCTCTGTCGGTTATGTTCCTCTTGTAATATTCTGTTTCTGCTGACATGTAAGTGTCTAAGTAAAACGACTGATACCAGTTTGTCTCATAGGGTGCGGTGGGCGTCCATCTTTATTATTTACGTATCTTACACTCACTGGCGCACATCGGCGACATCATCACAACGTGACGGTTACATGAACCGGAAGTATCCAAGATGCTACATCCCCCTTCTTTTGAAACAAAACATGGCTATAGCTACCAAATGAAATAGTAAACATTATGCATTTAAACATTTCAGAAAAACCTTGCCAAATCTGCAAGAACACTGTTACTGAAGGAAATATGAAAACAATTCTCTCATCAACAGTTCATGTCATAACGGCATTTCAACTGTTTCAAACTTAAGCACTTTATTTTCATGAACAGATCCCTCAGTTCTTTTCCTGTTGGGAATCACAAGTCTAATATGTCTCTCGGCTTCATTATGCGGCCTGATCTGGTGGTAGTACAGTCTGGTGGCTGTTTGGGACCTGTATGACCTGCAGGGTCCTGCTGTACTGTTTGAGACTCAGTGTCCTCAGGCTCTACCTGGTGGTTGTTTGGTGGAAGCACCTGGCTTGTACCACTTTCACACATCTGCAGGAGGTAACGCCGGTTACGCCTGAGCATGTGACCTCCATCAGTGCGAATGTTGTAGGACCTCTGGGTACTTACTGGCTCGACTACTGTTGCGTGTTCCCATGTCCCTGTGGGAAGCTGGAAACGGACCATAGCTCCTTCTGGTAGTGCCGGTAGTGTCCTAGCATTCCTGTCGTAGTATTGTTTTTGTCTCTGTTGGCACAGTTGCCTTCTGCTGTGAACTGCGCACCGACAGACAAGTTCAGGTTGCAGTTGTTTTTCTGTGATTGGTAGGATTGAGTGCAGATGCCTGCTCATTAGCAGCTGCGCTGGTGACTTCAGTCCATCAACTGGTGTGTTCCTGTATTCCAGTAAACTGAGGTACGGGTCTGTCCGCTGTGCATGTGCTTTGTCCATGAGGGCTTTGACAGTCTCAACAATCTTTTCAGCCAAACCGTTACTCTGCGGGTACAGCGGGCTGCTCGTGATGTGCTCAAAGTCCCAATGCGTGAGCAAAACCTCTGAACTCTTGTGAACTGTAACGGGGTCCATTGCCACTGATTACTGTCTGGGGTATTCCAAATCTGGCGAACATGGATTTCAGCTTCTGGATGACAGTTGCGGATGTGAGGTTGATGATTTTCTTTACCTCAAACTACCTGTTATAATAGTCAACGACAACTATATAGTCTATATAGAGAAGAACTTCTCACACATCCCGAGGGAGGTTGGGGACATGGAATCCGAATGGACCATGTTCAAAGCCTCTATTGTGGACGCGGCCGCTAGGAGCTGTGACCGGAAGGTCATCGGTGCCTGTCGTGGCGGCAACCCGAGAACCCGGTGGTGGACACCGGAGGTGAGGGAAGCCGTCAAGCTGAAGAAGGAGACCTTCAAGGCCTGGTTGGACCAGGGGTCTCCTGAAGCAGCTGACAGGTACCGGCAGGCCAGAAGGGCTGCAGCTGCGGTGGTCGCGAATGCTAAAACTCAGGCATGGGAGGAGTTCGGGGAGGCCATGGAGAAGGACTTTCGGTTGGCCTCAAGGAGGTTCTGGCAAACCATCTGACGGCTCAGGAAGGGAAAGCAGGGCTTACCCCAGGCTGTTCTCAGCAGGGGGGGAACTGCTAACCCGGACGGGGGACATCGTCGGGTGGTGGAAAGAGCACTTTGAGGAACTCCTAAACCCGACCAACATGTCCTCTGCAGAGGAGGCAGCGCCTGAAGATCTAGGGGGAGGCTCACCCATATCCCTGGCAGAGGCTGCGAAAAAGCTCCTTGGTGGCAAGGCGCCGGGGGTGGATGAGATCCGCCCTGAGATGCTGAAAGCGCTGGACATGGTTGGGCTGTCCTGGCTGACACGCCTCTTCAATGTCGCATGGGGGTCGGGATCAGTGCCCATGGACTGGCAGACCGGGTTGTGATTCCCATCTTCAAAAAGGGGGACCGGAGAGTGTGCTCGAATTACCGGGGTTTCACACTACTCAGCCTCCAGGGTGCTGGAAAGGAGGCTCCGACCGTTTGTCGAACCTCAGATTCAAGAGGAGCAATGCGGATTCTGTCCTGGCCGTGGAACAGTGGACCAGCTCTTTACCCTCGCAAGACTACTGGAGGGGTTCTGGGAGTTTGCCCAACCAGTCTACATGTGCTTTGTGGACTTGGAGAAGGCTTTCGACCGGGGTTCTTGTGGGGGGTGCTGCGGGAGTACGAGGTGCCGGAAGGCAAAGCTCTCAATTTACCAGTCGGTCTACCCTCACCTATGGTCATGAACTCTGGGTCGTGACCGAAAGGACAAGGTCGCGGCTACAAGTGGCCGAAATGGGCTTCCTCCGTAGGGTGGCCGGGCTCAGCCTTAGAGATAGGGGAGGGAGCTTGGAGTCGAGCCGCTACTCCTTCGCTTCAAAAGGAGTCAGCTGAGGTGGTTCGGGCATCTAATTAGGATGCCCCCTGGACGCCTCCCACTGGAGGTTTTCCAGGCACGTCCAACTGGGAAGAGACCCCGGGGAAGACCCAGAACACGCTGGAGGGATTACATCACCAGCTGGCCTGGGAAGGCCTCGGGATCCCCCAGAATGAGCTGGAACATGTTGCCGGTGAGAGGGAAGTCTGGGTCAGCCTGCTTGGCCTGCTGCCACCGCGACCCGACCCCGGATAAGCGGAGGAAAATGGATGGATGGAACTATATAGTCAGCCACAGACTTGTTCACCTGGCACAGTACTATCGTTTGCCAAGGTCGTTCCGGGATAGGATGCGAGAGCATCGGTTATTTTGTATTGGTGCTGCGTCGCTCCAGGCAGATGCTGCAAGATCCTACTAGTGCCTCTATCTGTTTGCATAATCCGGGCCAGAACAGTACGTCTCTTGCTCGCTGCTTACACTTTTCCATCCCCAAGTGTCCAGTGTGTATGCGTGAGAGCATTTCAGCTCTGAGTGAGTGTGGCACAATGATTTTTTTTTTTTCACCTTTGAGCAGGATTCCGTTTGTCTCTGATATCTCGTCCCGATGATTCCAATACTCAGCGACAGCAGGCGGACACCTTTTGTTCCGCTCAGGCCATCCTGCTTGGATAACTTGTCTCAACATTGAGAGTTGCTCATCTTGTGCTGTGGGGCGGCTTTGATTTCTGCCATTTTGCGATCACTCACCGGTGCACTGCTGATCACTGTGTGGATTTGTAAATCCATGCCTTCATTCAAAGAGTTATCAGCACACTCAATTGGCTTTCTGGACAGCGTGTCTGCGACCAGGATTTGTTTTCCAGGCTTGTGTGTAATGGTAATGTTGTACCTTTGTAGTTGCAGTATCATGCGTTGTAGGCATGGCGGTGTGGCTGCCAAGGGTTTCCGCATGATTGACTCCAGCGGTTTGTGGTCTGACGATCACCTGTCGTCCGTACAGATATTGATGAAAGCATCTGCATCCAAAGAGCACTGCGTACAGCTCCGTTTCGATTTGAGCGTAATTTTCTTCAGTCTCATTTAGTGTCTTGGATGCGTATGCGACTGGTTTCTCTCGCTGGAGCAAGACTGCTCCTAAGCCACATTTTGATGCATCGACTTGTAGTTTCACATCTTTGGTGTGGTCGAAGTATGTGAGCACTGGGCCCGGCTCCTGTATTAGCAGGTCTTTCATTTGCTGGAATGCAACGTCTTGATTTGAGTCCCACGTGAATTCACTGTTCTCTTTCAGCAGTTGTCTGAGTGGGGAAATTTTCTCTGAATGTCTGGGTGCAAACTTGGAGAGGTAGGTGACCATTCCCAGTATGGTCTCCAGCTCTGCTTTGCTGCGTGGGGGAGCCATTTCTTTAATTGCCTTGACCTTGTTAGGGTCGGGCTTGATGCCTTCTCGTGTCAGTTTATGTCCAAAATAGCTCACCTCAGAGACACAGATGATGCTTTTGTCTTTGTTTAGCTTTATTCCTCTCTCTCTCTGGTTCTCTCCAGCATGGCGCGCAGGTTGGCATCGTGCTCCTCTTTGGTGCGGCCATACACCAAAATGTCATCTACGATGGCTGCGACACCCTGAAGCCCCTCGTAGGCCTCATCAACACTCCTCTGAAACTCATCCTGTGCAGAAATGATTCCGAAAGGGAGCCTGTTGAACCGATATCTGCCGTAGATGGTGTTGAACGTGGTCAGCATGGATGATTCCTGGCTGAGTTTTATCGTCCAGATCTAGCGTCCAGTTCACTGAAGTACTGTGCTCCGGCTAGTCTTGGTGTGACATCATCTAGAGTGGGAAGTGGATAGTGGGGTCTCTGGATAGCTTTGTTTAGGGGGCGGGGATCTAAACACACCCTAAGCTTTCCTGTTTTCGGCTTTTCCATTGCCACTAGTGCATTCACCCACTCAGTCGGCTCCGTTACCTTTTGGATTATATCCATTTTTTTCATTTCGTCAAGCTCATCTTTGAGTCGGTTGCGCAGGGCATATGGGATGCGGCGAGGTGGGCACACCACCGGTATTGCTGAGGGTTTAAGGCGAAAGGTGCATTCTCCAGGGAATAGTCCAATGCCTTTTTAAATACGTCAGCAAACTCTTCTGTGATGCTGGTGTGTGTTTTTGGCTGTGCGTCAACCATGTGCACTAGCTTGACCAAGTTTAGGTCTAAACATGCACGTAGGCCCAAAACAGGAGGAGCATTTTCTGCATAGACTATGTCAAAATCTAGCATGGCTGTTTTCTGCCTGTATCTGCATGCTAACTTGCAAGCTCCTTTTACTTTAAGTCCCTGTCCACCATATCCTGAGATGTTGCTGTCTGATGGACCTAATGCAATACTCCCTAATATTTTGTGAAATATGTTCACTGGTATCACATTAGCCTGGGCACCTGTATCTATCTTGAGTGTCATGTTGTAATAGTGTCAATGTACAGATCCACTGGTGCCTGTTCCGTGCTTTCTGAAACAGCATGGACTTTCTTGGGCTTGTATTTTGATGGCTGATGTGTTTTTGTCTGACACATATTAGCAACGTGGTTGGGCTTTTTGCATTTGTTACACTGACGTCCTTTTGCGGGGCATTCTTCCGTGCGACCGTGTTCTCTTCCGCATGCTCCACACTCTTTGCTGCGTGTGGCACTGCTGCTATCCAGTGTTGCCAACTCCTCAGTAAGGAAAGTAGCTATTGGCTGTCCTAGAAGTCGCTAAATGACGTCATCGCCTAATTTGCATAATCGTAATGAGCGCTGTAAGAGAGGCGGGAACAGCGGTGGCTTTGCGCATGCGCGATTCATTTGCAGTCTGGACACGGAGAGTGTGGGTCTCCTCTTTCTGCAGCTGGGACTGTTGCGTGAGGGGCTACTGTGAGACTAACCACATTTGAGTGCTTTGAGGCGGCGGAGGGGCTCACGGCAGCTCCTGCGTGCCGAACGGTACGTGCTTTCACGTCAGAGTCAAAACACCAGAAAAGTCTCCAACAACACCAGAAAAAGTAGCTAGATTTGTCGCTAGTAGCTTTTGACAAAAAAAGTCGCCATGAGGGTTTGGAAAGTCGCCATATTTAGCGAGAAAGTCACCAAGTTGGCAACACTGCTGCTATCGTTCCCGCCAGTTAATTTGTGTCCGTGAGATCTTTGTTCGGAACTGAACGGCCTTCTGCTAACTGCATGAACAGAGTGGCTAGCTGTATTAGCGGCGGGGCAACCCATAGTCTTTAGCTGCTGTTGTGATAGCTCGTGTGAGCGTGCAATGTCAATCACTTTCTCGAGCGTTAGATCTGGACCGTGACAGAGTAGTTATTCCCGGACTCTTGGAGAGTTTATACCGAAAACGATACTGTCTCTAATCATCTCATCACCGTTAGGGTAGTTGCAGTCTTTTGCTAGCAGCTTTAGCTCAGTCACAAACTGGTCGAAATTTTCACAATCCTTCTGTATCTTTTCGTGAAATTTATATCGCGTGAAAATGGGGTTAGCTTTGGGCGTTACATATGCTTCAAACTTCGCATAGTACGTTTGGAGTACCTTTCTGCCGTGAGGGTCCATGTATCCTCTAGCGCTCAGCGGGCCGGAAAACATTAGCTCCACATGCTGGCGAAACTTTCTCCATGCGTCGGGCAGGTTAGATGAATCCCAATCCATCCATGGCGTGTAGCCGCCTGTGTTCTCCATCTTCCGTCGTCAGGTCGAAGTGAGAACCAAGCTATTCTGACACCATGTAATATTCTGTTTCTACTGACATGTAAGTGTCTAAGTAAAACGAATGATACCAGTTTGTCTCATAGGGCGCGGTGGGCGTCCATCTTTATTATTTATGTATCTTACACTCACTCGCGCACATCGGTGACATCATCACAACGTCATCACAACATCATCACAACATCTGCAGACCTTTTACTGAAGTAAAAAAAGTAAAAGTATCATTATGCAGTACATGGCACCTTTCAGAATTATGTGTGTTGCATCATTGATTTCTAATTATTGATGCAAATACCTAAAAATTATACTTAAATACAGTACTTGAGTGAATGTACTTATACTTTCCACCACTGAGTAGCCTTCTGCTTTATTGCAACCTTATCCTTTAGGCCTTCTTAAGTAGAAGTTCAAAAGTAACCGAATAGAAAGTTCCACTTTACAGTTAATTCTGCTTTATTGTTGAAAGGTATTTAAGGTCCAAGCCTATTTTATCTATTAGGTGAAACTATAACGGAGAATAATTTTTTATGCTTATCCGTATGTAAAATATTATTCTGCACAGTAAGTCACAACAGCTGTAGTGAAGAAGAAAGCATATACATTTAGAGAAATTCTTGACCAGACTTGTCTTTTCTCCTCTCAGCACCCACATCTGCAGCCATGACTGAGTTAGAGAATTGCTTGGTGTCCCTGATTACCTTATTCCACCGTTATGCCGATGAAGACGGTGATGGAAAGACCTTAAGCAAGGAAGGAGTGAACAAACTAATAGTGACTGAGTTACCCACCTTCCTGAAAGTAAGAATCTTTCCTCTTAAATCTAACCTCTGTGCTTAGTACCAATCAATGCACATAACGTGTGGTTACTTTAGCTTTTTACCCTAAACTTGTCACTCTTGCTATTGCTCTTTCAGACCCAGAATGACCCGACGGCTGTGGAGAAGATCATGAAGGATTTGGACCAAAACAGAGATGATAAGGTGGACTTTCAAGAGTTTCTTTCCCTCGTCGCCGGCCTCTCGATGGCCTGTGAGAAGTTGTTCATGCTCCATAAACTGAAGAGCAAGAAGTGAGATAGTGAGATCATGTTGTAGCACATGGGTGCCAGATTTTCAAGTAAAAACTGCCCTTTACAAGATTTCACCTTCTGTTTGTCTGATTACTCTTTTAGTATATTGGGTACAAAATATTCTCTTTTCTCTAATTCATGAGGGAGCTTTCTTCTGTTTGCAAATAGTTTTAAATGCTCTGTACCATCTATTTCTTGTGCACATAGGACCTTTATATTTGAGCAGAGCTCTGCCAATTTAAGAAAAATACCTCAAAGTACAGAGAATATTAATTCACATCAATATTGTGAAACAGTTGTGCTTTAGTTGACATATGAAACATATCATTTCACCCATAAATACTCCTTGAATGTTTAAAATGTTCAATTTAGGCAGCGGGGCCTTTTATACAGTAGATAAAAGGTTCAATATGGGAATGTGCTGGTTATCAGATTTTGCCTAAACTTGGGTGCAGCACCACCTGCCTGTATGTCATGAGTTATGGGTTAGAGTTGTGCCAAATAAGCATTCTTATAAGTGCTGACAAGATTTGGTGGGGTTTGAAGGTTTGTGATTTTTGGAGATAGTGGTGGTTTTCTCATGGCCCTCCTCCAGTTTAGATGCCAAATTGTTCATTGCGATGTTTCCAACTTACACAAGCACTCTTCTGGTATCTCTCACATGTGTCCCTGGCAGGCTTTTTAGTCAAAGTATTAACATCCTTAAAGGCTTCCTTGCACCATCCAACACAGAATTCAACACAAAGTACCGTCTATGAAAATAAGTTCAAAGGACATGGCACACTGCAAAGCATTAAGTCCAATAATCAATCATTAAGTACATTTTTACAAGGCCCATAATGTCAGTCGTATAAGGGAGGTATTACAATACAGCAAGTAACTGTGTTTTTCATTTGCCCGTTAATCCAACGAACGGTCAGCAATGTGGCCGGTATGCTGCAGGAGTCTGAGGAAAACGGCCTTTTTTTTACAGCAGTGATTTGGAACTGCCATAGTAGAAAAAGCACAGGTGTTAGTAATCTCCTAAACGATGGCTGTATTTATTGAAGCGCACCAGTAAGTTGTGACATTGTGACAAGAGAAGTGGAACTGAACAGTCAGAAAAGCACAGGTGTAAATAATGAAATAAATGATGGCTGGATTCATGTAGCTGCTTTGATTTCAGGAATCCTGCTGGCTCACAGTCGCTCTCACTGAAACACTTGAATAGAATAGAGCCATTCGTTAGTGTTATTAGTAACACCTGTGCTTTTCGTTCTCTGACAAGCCAAAATGTCTACTGTGAGAAATGCTTTCGAACATACAATGTAAGGTTTGAAAAAAAGATGCACTTGTATATTATCTACACAAGAAGGCAGCAACTAAATCAATAACCAAGGGGTTAATGGAAAACAATAGAATTGGATCACTGGAGCACACCGGAGGTCACTGAAGAAATTAAATTGTTAATGACAACAAACCATTGTCTGCTTGACAAACGAGGCAAACCATCAAGGGCAATCCCAGTTATAAGCTATCAACAGACTGAGTGGACTGGTTATACTGGGACAGAGAGGCTCAGTGGACTGGTTATTATGCAGAGAAGGACTTTGCAGTGCACTAAACTTCAAACAGGTGAGTAACAAACTCATTTATTGTTATAATTCACTGTCCAGAGTAGGGGGTCAGCAACCATTACATTGCCTATCAATGTAGGCTTGTGTATCTGCACTAGCAGGTAAAAGTGGTGCAATGTCTCCTTTATTTATTTATTTATTTATTTGTGTGTATGTATGTTGTCTGCCTTTTTTTAGTTATTGCCTGTGATTTTTATTTAATTGTCTTAGTGTCAGGTTTTCTGGTTAATTCTAGTAAGGGTATACAGAGGGAGGTGAGTTTTTTGTTGTTGTATACACTTGCTGCAAATTGCTGGAATTTATTATTGGTTTGAACATCAGAGCATTGTGGTGTGATGTTTCAATGGCGTGTACTTTCACATTTAATGTAATTTTATTTTGTAGCCTAAAGGTGATCTCGAATTTAATGTGTCATCATGTATATCAAACATTTTTTCACCATTTTAACTGACTACTTTTAACATTTTTAATTAAGTAAATATTTAAACTATTATTATAAATATTTTACAATAATAAAGACATAAAAAAATAAATTTACTTGAGTATGATATTGTAGCACTCGTTCCATCGCTGGTCATTTGTTATAAGCTTTGTTTTTCGCCAATAAGTGATTGCCTTACGTTTTAGCAAGTAAGTTGGATGCCACAATGGTCCCAGCTCAGCCAACATGGCAGCCTTTAATAACAAGTACTGAACATGGAAATAACATTGAAATGTGGAGATTTGGTACTTTAAGGAGGTGGTCATGCCTTTAATTCACCACTAGATGTCACAAAACTAGTTTTAAAGAACTAAACAATTGCTGTTCTACAGGTTCTCTCCAGTTTCACCATTTGAGTGAGGAAAGACAGTTTTATAAAAAATAAATGATGCTGGGTTCAGTGAGGATGCGTCACACAAGACTGTAACATATAAACACACTTTTTGTTGAATCCTGACAGAGCATCAGTTGAATGGAGATTTTACATGAAAATATTGTTTTCCACAATGTGATGTGTGGTGTTGACGTTCTGGTATTAATCTAGTGTTGATGTGATGATGGTGCAGCTGCTGGACAGAGCAGCCAACTGCAGTTTAAATTGAATAGAGTTTAACAAGAGTTTAACTGACAGTTTTGTTCCCTCTCTTGTAAGACTTTGGGTATACATCACACTGAACATGATGAAAGGAATACCTTTACCTCCTCTGGACTTTTGTTTGTGCATACTACACTGTAGAGAAACCTGTACCTCACACCCATACTTTGACAGTTGTTTGCTTACCTTGTTGCTTGGTGGATTATCTTGATCATGAAAGGAACACAGCCAAAGCAGCATACAACTGTGAGATTATATTTGACCGCATCAAATATAATATCACAATCAAATTGATGCTTTATTCAAAGCTCTGCTCAAAGATATTTCTATTTCATTTTAAATTATTATAGTACAAGTTCATGGTGCAGACTGCAGAGGTCCAGCAGCTCCAAGTGAAACTGTAACTCATACCCTATAGCCAGCAGGGTGTGGAAAGATGAACTTTTTTGTAATTTACACCACACGATCCTTCGTCTCTATTTGCTTTGCCTCCCCTGCAAGGAGAATCTGATCGTTTTCAATAAGTGAAAGTGTTGAGGCCAAAGTGAAGAGAGGCTTGAGCTAAAAGGGACTTGGCAGGGGGCAACAGAGGGTAAGAGGAAGAAAATACTGCCCTTCTGTTGCCTTGGAACAAACAAGTGGAAAAGAGGTTGAGTTTCACAAAGTTGAGCAGAATGAATGGGGTGTGACTTGCGTCAGAATGAACAAACAGCCAGGACACTCCCACTGACGGACTAGAGACTCTTGTGATTTTATTTACTTTCGTAGAACTAAAGTAGGACATTTACAGTTACGCTAAAGAACAGAAAAATAAAGTTTTCAATTAGTTTCCATTGTGATCTCTGATGGTGGCAGAAGTACATAATTCAGCCACGACGGATCAATTTAAGTTAGAAAAAATGCTTTTGAAAGTATACTGAATTTTATTCCAATGATACTAAGAAATAAAATATAACTGGCACTGTTGAAACATGTTTTTGATTCTTAACTGCTCAAAAGAGATAATTTCAGGAAATTCAATACAGCCTCATTGATATAGAACATTACCAAAAATCTAGGGCAACCAGGATAGACAAGATGCCCATGCAGCCAAATTACCTATGAACAAACGCATACACACATTTGGTTATGCCTTTAAACGCATCACTTTGGGTGGGATTAAACCACTCACTGTAACTTTCCATTTATTCTGACATATTTTCTCCAGACAGCTACACTGAGCAACTCCTCAATAAAGAGGCTAATCTTAGATGATCCTCCACACACACGTCATCAATGGCGACCGTTTGCTCTATACAACACAAGCAAAATAACTGTTTAGTGAATGTTTTCTTTTCTATGGCACAGCTCTCTGGAAAACAAGTTGGGTGGAGGGGGGGAACATTTCCTGTGTGTGTGTGTGTGTGTGTGTGTGTGTGTGTGTGTCGGACATCGTGTGTCTACTCTTTCAGAGGGCTTTAAGAGAGCTTCCCCCTCACTCTGACAACTGTCTCACCTTGGACAGCTGGTGATACGGACAGGATCTCTCTTCAGCCAGGGAACGTGAACTCTAAGGTGAGTCCCGATGAAAAGCAAGATTTTGGGGGATGCAAGAAAGAAAAAATAGCATTTAATTCAGATGCTGAGCATCAAAGATGCAATGGAAATGTCTGAGTTATGCCATGGTGTCTATTTCAGCTTTACTCAGTGCTCTGAGCATTTGTCGAGCACCTTATTGTTTTGAGTCTGATGTTTACATTCAATGCTCATATGATACATCTTTATACATTTATGTATTTTCTGTTAATCCAGTATGTTTTTAAAGGTATTTGCTCTTGCCTCTCTGTTAATTACTCTCATCAATCGGTTTCTCCAGCTACAGCCATGGCTCGTTTGGACCAGGTCATCACAAACATTGTGGATATTTTTCTGGACTATGCTGATGATGACGGCAAGAAAAAGAAGTTATTAAACAAAGAAGAACTGAAAAAGATGTTGGAGGACGAAATACAATGTCCTGAGTTAAAAGTAAGAGACTGAACACACTCACTTTATGTTAATGGGTATTTATGAAATACGTGCGCTATCCTGCTTCGTCCTCACCACTTGTGCTTTTGTGCATTACATGATGTTATTTAACTGTAAGGATGTGTTCTCCAGGACAAAATCAATGCAGGTGACATTGAGGAAGCCATGAAGATGCTGGATAAAAACCACGATGGCGAGCTTAACTTCAGAGAGTTTTGTCGGTGCGTGAGTGAGCTGGCCAAGTGCTACTACCAGAAGAAGACAGGCAAGGGTGGCAAGAAAGGCAAGGGGAAAGAACAAGAAGGTGAACAAGAAGACTAAAGAACCAACCCTTAAAGTGTTTGTAGCATCTTAATGTATTTAGAAATATTTCATGACATTTACAGTGTATGTTATACGTGATACAGCTGACCCTGGAACCAGATGTTGCTATATTTGGCCATTTCCACATCCATCATTTAAATCAAGCTTATTATTTCTGTTTTGAAAGTTCATGCAAGATGTGATATTCGCTACCTTAGAACCTCTGTCAACAGGTTTTCAAAGAACTTTACATTTAACACTTTGCTGAAAATAAATAAAAGCAATAAAGTTTGATTTGTTCTGCACGTGTAGTTGTTGGGTATATGGCATCACTGCTGTGGGAGGAAACAAGCGTGGGTTCATCAAACATTCAACAGACATCACCCGCTGTGTTCTCCAGAGCACATATCACTGTCACTGCTTCCTGAGTGAACATTTTAAACTTTGACGGATATCGGATATATTCCATGTCAGAAAAGTCACTTCAAATATCTATTTAGCTGTCTTTCCCTCTTTCGAAGTATTTTTGTAAAATCACATGAATTAAACCCCACTATTGTATATTAAGAAGATAGTATTCCCAACCCCTCAATGCACAAGGGAGTTATCACTTATTATTATGAAAAAATGTTATGTTTATACATTAATCATGAAAACTATTTGATGGAATTGTTTATAATTTTGTTGTTGCCCAATAATTCCTTCAGATGTTTAACACACTTGCTCTGCTTAGGAAACATGGCCACAAACACTGACAGTGTTCATACCGCTTTTAATGTCAATTTATATAAGGTTTCTATGATTTTAAAGGTGATTTTCATCCAATCCACAAAGTGTTGACTCACTCACATGGCTGCCTGTCTAGAAACAAACACACATTTCTATTGGTTCCTGTGAGGCACGTGTGACTGGCTGAACGAACCGTCTGTCCACAAAATATTTCTGTAGTAGTCTAAAGAAATCAGACCCTGTTTAAAGTGTCACGATTTAAATCAAAAAGTGTCAATATGTCTAGCATCTAATTTATCTACTACGGTCATGACAATATATTCTAAACCTGCGTTCAGATGTTTGTGTTTTGAAGCTTAGAACCAGGATGTGATGTAACACTGGAGTAAATTCAGTGATTCAATGCGGTTATATTTCTTATAGGCAAGGCAAAGCAAGTTTATTTGTATAGCACACTTCAACAAGATAATTCAAAGTGCTTCACATAAAACCATTAAAAGCATCAAAACATAAGGCAAAAGAAAAGGAGATTTAAAAACAATTAAAAACATTCATTGAAACATTAAAAACAGTCATTAAAACACTAAAAAGCAGTGTAAGAGATAAAATACAGAGAAGAGAAGGACCTTTGAAGAACTTCAAATTTGTGTCCTCGCCTCTTCCTAAATCAGTCACAACCATTGCTCGCCCATGCTTTATGCACTGCATTCTTCTGGCTGCGTGCAAGGTGGAGCAAGTGTCCTAAAATACTGTATGCAAGAGGTGAGCATCTACCAGCACACCAGCATGCCCTGTTCTCTCATACTGTAAGTACTTTAAATGTAATCATTTCAACTGAAATGTACTCATATGTCAATATATTAACATATGTTGGGCTGTGGAGGCAAATGTATTCCTTGTGTGTAGCAATAAAATAACCCATATCCCTCAAATACACCCATGTCCCTCAATTCATAAAGGCGTTTTCAAGCATATTGATGCAAATGGTAACAAATAGGCAGTTTCTTACAATAGATGGGAAGAGAGAGAATGAAAGAAAATAGTATTAACCATGCAGTGATTGCCATAAAAAGGTGAATAAGCCCATCAGATTAGACTTCAGGCTATTTTTTTCTCAGATAATATTGAATAGACACTTCAGGCCTCAGTGGATGAAGCGGTAGCATCTGTTGTCAGCACATAAGCCATTTGTACATTTTTGGTAAAGGTTTGATAGTCAATCTACCGTTTAGTCTTCACCTTATTGTCTCTTGCCTGTCTTGTTGCTGTAGCACTCATTGACCATGAAACCTGCACACAAAGAAAACTCTCTGAAGTCGATGTTTTGCATCTATTTGTTTGAAAGCACCGCCTTTATGAGTCTGTCAGCACTTCAAGCTGAATAAACAGAATGTACCTGGTTGGATGTCTCTGGAAATGGTCCAACCATTATGTGATGAAGCAAAGGCAGGTTTTACTTCAATATGTCACATGTAGACTCGCCCAAAATATTTCTTCTGAGTATAGAGTAACACTGCAGACGGTGGTTGTAAAAAGTTTGTAATTGCTCAAAGCACAGCTGAAGATTCAGTTGAGCAATTCCCCACTGGAGTGATCACCTGATCACGCTTCAGGCAGGGAAAAGAACACACCCTACAGGTGTACTTATTTCCAACTGTGCTACGCAGGTGACCCATTTGTTCTTCATTTTAATTCCCAGCTGCGTGTTGTGTGTTATAAAGTCAAAGTCATTCTAATCATTTATGTTATCACTGTCGCACCTGGAATTTCTACGTGAACTAAACAGAAATAAAGTGAAAAAATAAGAGTAAGAAAGAGTAATTACCGTATGATAGTAACTAGTCATCATTTATTACTGGAGGGGACAAACTCCATTGTGTCTGTGGGTCACACATTTTAACTCATTTTAAATCAATCTGTGTGGTAGCAGCAGCGTTGTTCTTGTTCAAACAACACAACTGCTGAGAGAACTAAGCTCCAGTTTTGATCTGATCCAGTTTGACCAGATTTGCTAGAAACTTTTTTTGATTAATCTGCCATAATTTAATGCATATGCTGTTATTTCATTTACGGGAATCAGGAAGTGAATGATTTGTTCAGATTAAATAGCTTTGCATTAAACTAAACAGATGCATACACTAAAAATCAAATACAACACACTTGTGCTGGAGTTGACTTGCAAAAAATAAGCTTTTGCTTTTACTTTTAATGGTACAAGCAACTCTGAGGCTTTACTTCGGCACTCAGGCTTTGAGCTGAACACTAACAATGACAATGCTAACATGTTTAGCAGGTATAACGCCGTTCATCGTAGTTTAGCATGTTAGCATGCAAATATTTCTTAATTAGGATTAAACGCAAACTACAGCTCAGGTTTATGGGAAAATTTGACCTGGCAATTTCATGGCAACCTGTCTGATAGTTGTTGAGAAGTTTCACTCAAAACTGCAAATATCAGCTTCATGGTGGCGTCGGAGGAAACAATTATGGGATCACCGAAGTCTTGAGGATTCCCTTTTGTTGCAATCTATCAAGTAGATATGTAATTGGACATCTGAACCAAATTCCATGCCAATCCATCCAATATTTGTTTTTGTTGTTGGACTGTCCAACAGACAGACATTAGCATGGCAAAAAATCAGACAGACACATAGACTAATAAGCCTCAGGTCATGATCCTGGTGCATTCCTGCAAAAGTTTTCCTCCTTCAAACCAATTTCACAACAACTCCTTCTATCACACAGACCAAC